TGATAGGTGAACTTACAGTCGTTCTACTTTTAGGAGTCTTTGTGAAACCATCTCTCTTTAAGGAGACAGGCAGTTTTGCCCACAAGTCTCCAGAGGTTCCCGTGTAGCTGATTTTACATCACAAGGAGATACGCGTCAGTGAAACGCTGCCGTTACTTCACTCTCTGAGAACGGCACATTTTCCCTTTTTTAGAGAGGACGCACACACTTCCCCGCAAAGGGGGAACTTGCAGAGCGGGCACTAGTGAACTTACACAATTCGGCTTAACCTCATCTACCTCTGGAGTTCACCGGTGTACTTTAATCTGTTTTGTCTGCACATGTCAGCTAAGACGGACGGCAACCCAGCACACCTTGTGACCGGTGTCACTGCGGCAAAAGGCAACAAAATCGTACCCCGAAGGGGGAGCGTGCAAATAGTGGGGAATAAAGCGATATTTAGGAAGAGTTGCCTTCTCTACAGAACATCGCGGCAGACCACCGAGGCGATCGGTGCGCGGCAGGGCCAGGTTACTCGGCTGAACGCTCTCCCTCAGTAGTACAGCTCTGCCAGCGACCACAAGACAAGCAGAGCAAGACGGGGTAGAAATCGCGGTGACCACCGCCTTTTGTTAGCTGCCTCCGAGCGAGCGCGACGCTCCGGGAGGCATTCTCCTTTCCTCTTCCCCTCCTGCCGGCAGCACCGCCCTACCTGCGGGGCGGGCTGCGGCCGGGGCAGCTCCGCGCTCCGCTACCGCCCCGTTCAGCGGCAGCCGGCGCTTCCCGCACCGTCCCCGACCGATCCCCGCCGCTTCCCCCCGGTCCCCACGGAGCGGCCGCGGCACCTACCGGAGGCCGTCATGGTCCGGGGCTGGCGGCAGCGCACCGCGGCGTCCGTCCCGCGGTCACTTCCTCGGCCCGTCCGGAGACCCGCTCCGCAGCCCGCCCCCCAGCACCGCCCCTGGGGCCGCTCCGAGCGCAGCTCCGGCCCCGACGGCGGCGCCCTCGGGCTTACCGCGACGGCGGCAGGTCCTCGGCTCGTGCTAACAGGGCACAGGCTGAGCCCCGGGCTTTCCTTCCTGCTCTAGCACTGCTCGTTTTCGCTTCCCAGCGCTTTTAAAACCCGGGTGCTTAAGTGCTGCGGAGCTACCTAAAAGCAAGCGTTTAGGATGACCACTTATATCTTCTTCGAGATTCCCTCGAACTGTCTCTGTTCCTCCTTCCAGCTAAAGCTGCTCCGGCTCCGCAGGGGCCGGAGGGATGGGAACAGAAGATTCCGATACAGTGGAAAGAGAGCAGGTGAACGTGAAGTGGTAATAACAAGGAGGTGGTACGGTGGTTAAAATCACAGCTGTCAGCCAGGAAAGGTGGAAAACATAAGAATCAGAGAGGACAAGAGATGAACACACCTTGGTGCCCTTAGATTCACCAACGTCCACATGACTGTGCTCATACTGAGAGCAGCAGAAAGGTTCTAAAGGTTCTGCTGGAGCTCAGAATAGGGCTCAATTTAGTTTGTCACTTAGGACAAACCAAAAAATTCTGCTTAAAGAATTATTTCAGATTACTCCCTTGCAAACCTGAATAAAAAAAAATAAATACAACACATTGTGTGTGTGTATATATATATATATATATATATATTTTTTTTTTTATACATTCAGAAATACATTTCTTTACTGAGAACCAGTGAAGCCTTCATCGTTGCTCTTAGGTAAAGCAAACATGAACTGCCCTACAATCTGGTTTCCCAGTGAAGAAAAGGTCACTCACGTAGAGCACACTGTGTATGCAGCTCACTGCCATGAGCACTGACAGCAAAGCAGAGCAGTTAGCTAATCACACACAGTAACGAACCAAGACTGTTTCCTGCTTATCCATTCAATCTCCTAACATAACTAAACTCTCCAGCTACCTCCAAACCTTTCTTTGCCTAAAACTTACTCTAAGCTTGCAAAATAACTACATAGTACAGCTTGTCTTCCAAAAACTGACAGTTTTCTCCTACAATAATTATTAGGACAAACAAATTAAAAATCCTGAAGGTACAGACAAAGGAGAAAGTGAAGGTATGCAGAGAAGAAATCAGCACTTCCCCAGTTGAACTCTGAGTATGTACAATAGAATAAAGGCCATCTGGGTGCTGGAAAAATTTGCAGCTACAGAATCTACATTTATAATGGACAAAAATCTACCAGCTGGAAGCTAGTCTCTTCTAATTTTTTTGATATAATGGAATAATACTCATATAATCAGAAACAGATATAAGAACAGATGGATAAGCATGTATACGACTTCATAATTATTATTCCACAGTTATTGTTATTTCTCTTGCAAATCCCTTTAATCTCAGAATAAGAAGTGAAAAAAATTCTCAAAATCATCTCTCTGGTGTCAGATCAGGATTTAAACATGCTCTTCGAAACAAGCTTTTAAACTATTTCTCCCTTTAGAGCTTTGCAGCATCATATAAACAGCTGGCAACTTCTTGCTTAATGAGAATCCATGGGCTTTCTTCGCATGCATCAGTGTCACCTGGGATGCTATTTGATTTACTTAATGTAAAATCCTTTTAGCCTCTAAAATAAAATTAATGTGCCTCCCCAAAGTAACTGTCAGTGCACTGTTACAGCAAACTTCACAACAACCTCCTCCTGAAAAACCAGATTGAAACAGGATGCTTTACACACACTAGGAACCAAAAAGTGTCAGTCTCACTTTAATGCATGGAAAAAGAATTCGTGGGTTGGGAAAAAGCAAAAGAAATGCCTTACTGTCCTACTGAGGAAGAGCCAGGTTGTCTCTCTGCAAGTCAGGCTCTCAGTCCTCATTTAAGACTGCAGCTCCATGCACAGCAGCTCATGCAAAGAAAAACAAATTTCACCACTTTAATTCAAAGAAAACCTGAGCCTTGCTGAGCCAGTTTTTCATTAGAAATTGGCATGATCTGCACCTTCCACACAGGAACAGCACTACTTAACCCACCATACAGTGTAAGAGCCATCTTGCCATGGACTTTAAGAGCAAGGGTGGAAAATTCATCACGTTTTCTGTTACTACCTCCAGTTCCCCTATGGGTAATAACCCAATGACCTTTTGCTTCCAGTTCTATGATTCCTCTTTTGCCTACCACCACATTTCCAATACAGCACTGACTAAAGCAACACTCAACAGGAAGATATGTCACTTGCTTTCCTTGCTCAAAAATCTGTCTCACAGAATTCACCACAGAGGTCAGATCGTGTAGCAGGTTTAATTGCTAGAGCTGTTGCTCAAAACCAGTTTGCTGATGTTAAGGGCAATTTGATTTGTTTGGTAGGGAGGCAGGACAAGCTCTGATCCTCAAAGCAGACACATACATGTAACTCCCTATGTCTGTAACATGGGAAAGATTTTCTCTCACCTCCCTTTTATGCAGTAAAATCTCTGAATCTTCAGAGATCTCGCTGCATAAGATGCTCTGAAATTCTTTAAAGGCAATAGAAGAAATCTTAGCCACACCTTACCTATCCAAATTTTTAGCTTTTTGGTTCCATGCTGCTGAATACAGCCATTAATTTCCCTGGCTTCTCACAGCAGAATTACTTAAGATAGCAGAACCTCAAATAAAGACAATTTACCAGCAATAGCTGCACCTCTTCCTTACTGATGCAAAAGGAGGCACACAACCTGTGCTGAGCTTTGCAGATGGATGTTGCAGTTTCATTTAACAGTCTCAAATAAATAAAAACCAGCAGAAATAATGGTTCCTGGAAATAGCTTCCTTTCTGCACTTCACATCTGAGCAATCCTATGTACAAGGGCAGATCAGAATCTGAAAACAAAATGCAATTATTTAACAGTAAAATAGAACTGCCTTTGTCTCTAACTGCACAACAGTACCCTAGTAGGATTAGAGAAACTTACAGTAGTATCTGCCACTACATAAGGTGCTTTCTTTTCCCCACAACACAAGCGTGAGACCTTCCAGAAAATGAAACCAGCAAATGAGATCTTCCTGCATACAACAAACGCCACCTAATCACATGAGAGGGACAAGACTCACATGCAGTTGGGCACAGTAGGACCTAAAGAGCCTTACAAACACAGAACAGGGCAGGAGAACCATCGAGAGCATTAAGGCTTACTCCTACTTGTCCAATGCTAGCAGCCCTAACTTAGGGCTCTCAGTAACGAGCTCGCTCTCACTTATGCTCAGCAGACTTTATATTAACAGAACAACAAAAAAAGTCCCCAGTGCAAAGCAAGATGAATAAAAGAGGACATTCAATTTATTAGCAAATACCTCAAGGCTTACAGACAAGAAAGCTTTTAATAACAAAGAGAAATAGCTAATTTAAAGCCACAGCTCTATACAGCAGCTGAATGAAATGTCTTATCAGAGCCCTGAGCACACTAACAGGCCACAGCTGTTCTGATCAGCCCCTGTGACTTCTACCCCACACCCTTTACTCCCGAAGTCCCAGAGCTCACTTTAAGCTCTAGCCTTGGCATTCAATACACTTAGAGGCTTGTTTGTTTTGTTATTACACGTATCTTTTTCAAATGTATCTTCCACCTTTCCTCCTATGTACTCCTCAAACCTCTACATACCTACTGTAAGTAACCTCATTTCTATTTCTAGTCCCTTCTTCAGTTCCCCTTTATAAGTAGTTCCCTTGGGCTTAGTGGTGCATTTATTATAGCCCCATCTCCTTTTGCTCCGAACGCTCCCTAGGAAGACGCTGGACCTGCTTCACACGTGACGCTCCCCGGCGGTGCGGGTGCCCCTACCGCCAGCACGCGGCCCTGCAACTGACGGGCAGGACGGTCCCTCACAGAGCAGCCTGCACTTCCTACTCCTTACTGTTTACCTCTCCCTTTCTAACAGACTACGGCTGGGGGGCACTGATCCGTGGAAGAAAAGGGAAAAAGCGAATTTAACCGCACTGAAACCTTCAATCCGTCAGCGCTATGCGCGCGCTTCCGCCCCTCTCCAACATGGCGCCGTACCGTCGCCTCAGAGCGCAGAGGAGGCGCCGCACGGGCTTCCGGCCGCACGCACGTACGCAGTACGTCGTTACGTCACCGCGTCGATGCGCGTGCGCGCAGGCGGCACGTGGCGGCGCAGCATGGCGGAGCGGCGAGCGGTGCCCAGCGACCTCTTCCCTTTCGTGCTCGCCTTCCTGCGCGAGAACCGCTTCGAGGGCGCCGCGCGCGCCTTCGCCAAGGAGGCGGCGGCGGTGAGCGGGGCTGGGGCGGGTGAGGGAGGGGAGCGTGATGTGGAGCGTGTCCCTGCGCTTGTGGCTAACGCGTGTCCGCGTGTCCCCGCAGAAGGAGCAGGACCCCAACGCCGCCTCGCTGCTGGACATCTTCAGCTACTGGGTGAAGTGAGTGCTGCCCGGGGGCGGGGGGGGCTTTTGCTCGGCGCTGTTTCCCGGAGCTCCGTCCATCTGTCTGTCTCCCTGCAGGTCTCCTGCCGCTAGGAAAAGGAAGCTCGTGCCCAACGGGCCTCAGGCAAAGCGGGCAGCTGCCTCGAGCAGCAGCGAGAGCTCCAGTGAGGAGGAGGAAGAGGAGGAGGAGGCGGCCCCGCCTGCCAAGAAGCCAGGTGAGGGGGAAAGGGGCCGCGTTGGGTTGGGAACCTGACCCTGCTCTGGGTACAGTGTGGTGCCTGTGGCTGAGGTGAAGAGATTCTGGTGCTGTCAGGGAGCAGAGTCATGTTCTGGTCTTAGAGCTGTAGAATCGTAAAGGCTGGGAAAGACCACTAAAGTCAGGTACTCCATCAACACCCTCCCCCCATGCCCACCAACCACGTCCCTCAGTGCCACAGCTCCGTGTTTCTTGAAAAGCATTGCTGCTTTTTCAGAGAGGAAGTTTTTCCTTAATATCCAACCTGAACACCCCTGGCAGAATTTGAGGCCGTTTTCTCTCATTCTATCATCACTTTTACCTGAGAGATTTCCCTTGTCCTGATGACTGCACTGTTCCTGATATGAGTTAGGATGCTGTTGGTGGTTCAGCCAAGTGTTGGCCAACACCTCCAGATCTTTTTCCTCCATGCAGCTTGCCAGTCTCTCTGCCCCAAACCTGTAGCGATGTATGGGGTTCTTGCCATCGGTGCTCGGGACCTGTTGCTTGGTTGTATTGAAGTTCATAGAGCTGGTCTCAACACATTGTTCCAACCTATGCAGATCCCTCTGTAGGGCCTTCCTATCCTCAGGCAGATCAACACTTCCTCCTGGCTTGGTGTCATCTGCAAACTTAACTGAGGATGCACTCAATCCCTCAATCTTCCTGACAGCTCTGCTGCCTGTGCTTCCCATTTCTGTTTGTGATACATCTTCATTCCCAGTGAGCATGAGCTCGTTATCCAGGTATAAGTTAAAATCTGTAGCACAGCATTGTGGTGGTTCCCTTTGGAAGTCTGCAGTGGTTATTATTGAAGCTGGAAGGTATTCAGCACTGACAACAATTTCAACATTCTCTCAGTTTGTGGGAGTGCTTCTTATGTGGGGTGTTGTTGCTGATAAGTCTGCTCTTAAATATGTGAGTAATAAGGGATGAATGAATCTAGAACTGTTTTGGATTCTTGTACTGCTCTGTGTATGGCAGACAGAAGCCTGGGTCAATGTTACAATCTTCAGGCATAGTTTACTGATTTTAATAGATCATTTTAACATGATATAATACTAATGCAGGATATGTGTGTGTGGGAGGTGTGAATTAGGTGGTCAATGTATTTTTTCCCTTACTTGCAGCTAAAGCAACAGCTGTAACAAAGACAAAAACAGTTCCTCCAGCCAAGAAGGCAAAGAGCAGCAGCAAGGACTCTAGTGATGATTCAGACTCAGAGGAGGAGGAGAAGAAGCCAGCAAAGGTCAGCCTTCCTTTCTAGCCTCTTTACTACATGCTAGATAATGATGAATGATAGCAAATTTGACCACCAAAATTCTCACTGAAAGTGAGCTTTTCATAAACTGCAAAGAACCTGGACTTCTGGAAATACAATGTAATAAGATGTTTCTGCAATGGACAGGATACTGCTTAGATGGATCCTCTAAAAAATTCATTTCATGTCCAACAGCTATTTGTTTCACATCCATGTCTACTCATGCTCATGGCTCTTTTCCCAAGGCTATCAGTGCTTGCTTTTTTTTTTTTTTTTTTAATAAAAAGATTATTTACAGCTTATGTATAAATAGAGAATTTTCTCTTTTCCTTTTTTACTACTGCCATGGTCTTGAGAAGCAGAGGCGGGAAAAACAGCATCACACTTGAAGAGGCAAACTAGGGTTGCCTCATCAATGTTTTCAGTCTTAGAACTTGTCACTTTCCTAGAGAGAAGAGAACCCAGATCTCCCTTCTTTTGAAGGGGAAGAAATGGAGACTGAAGAGTAAAGAACATATCCTGTGTGCTTCTATGAGGCTTCCCAGAGCAAAGCTGGAAGCAAAACCATTATTCAGAGATTTTCAAACACAAGCTGTTAGACTGTGAGGTTTCCAGCTGTTTGAACTTCCACATGTACCACTTATTAGCCTCTCTTCTTTGCTACATGGGCTACTCAGTTTTCTTCCTTTCATTTAGAAAGGCACAAAACCTGCAGCGAAGCCAGCTGTAACCAAAATCCAGCCTCAGAAGAAAGCAGAGAGCTCCAGCTCTGACTCAAGCAGCTCAGATGAAGAAGCACCAAAGAAACAGCCACCAAAACCAGCGACACCTAAAGCAGGTATCTCCTTTATTGCATGTTGTGAGTCTGTGTGCACAAAAAGCTAGAGGAGTGAGGCGTACATGTTAACACAGTCTGCAAATCTACTGTCTCTGCCATTTTTATTCTCAAGCAGTCTACTTCCAACATGGAGCATGCGTAGAACTGATTGTAAATGAAACATCAAGTTGTAAATGAAACATCAAGTCATAAAGGCTGTGTTGCATAAGTAGCTGCAATCAGCAACCTTCATTGCTCATATTGTGCTTTTATCAATGTCTTCCTATAAAGTGCAGAGCTGGAGGAAGTTAACAATATTTAGTCTTCGGTCATGAAAGTATTTGTAAGTTAGAGTGGACATCTTACTGGAAACCATCCCTAAGCTTGAAGAAGAGTAAGAATAAAAAGTTTACAGTACTTACCGTAGTGGTTCCTTATTATTTTTTCCTGTGTTTTTCTCTTCATGATACTTTATGCTGAATGTAATGACTCCTCATTTCTCAGAGCGTATTTTCTAGTATTGCTTTTCACTTGTCCCAAAAGGAAATAAAGCTGCTCAAGCAACCACCAAAGTGGTCAATGGGAAAGCACCAAGCAGCAGCAGCAGTAGCAGCAGTAGTGAAGATTCTGATGAGAAAAAGGCTGTGCCGAAAAAGGTAAATTGGACTTTGAAAGAGTTTTTAAATGCTGTAGTAATGTAGTAAGGCTGGATGTATCTCTGTCTTTCAGAGACTATGAAACAGATAGAGTAGGGCACGTACTGCATGGAAGCTGAGTAAAGTATTTGGGGCTCTTAAACAGCTTTTTCCTTTTTATGGTGGGATTATGCCATAGAATCATAGAATGGCTCAGGTTTGAAGGGACTCTAAGGATGATCGAGCTCCAAACCTCATACTGTGGGCCAGTTGCCACCCACCCGATCAGACTGCCCAGGATCCCATCCAATTTGGCCTTCAGGGATGGGGTATTCACAGCTTCTCTGGGCAGTCTGTGCCAGGTCCTCACCACCCTCTGTGTAATGTTCCTAACAGAACATGACCTAACATGTCCTGTCTGTGCCCTGACTTTCCTCTGCTACTTCTACAGGAAAATGTCTCCTTATAATTTAACCATATTGTAGTCTCCCTTGTACGTTCGTTTTTGCATGAATTTTCTGTGCTTAGCTACCTGTGCTCTTCAGCCAGGTTAGCTCTCAGTTAAGAATTTATGCAGATGAAAAGAACAGCAGAGCGACCATGACGTAATACTCACGTGTTTCCTGGAATTTGCATGTGAGGATCTTCTTTAATTTCTTCCTTTATGTTCAAAATTTGCTGCTTCTTAAGTGAGACAGATAGTTAGAGATTTGCATCCAACTGTCTGCCCAAGTTTTCCATAGTATGTGCTTTTTTTTTTAATGTGTATTTCTTTCCTTCTTGTGTTAAGGCTGTTCCCAAGAAATCTGTGCCCAAACCTGTAGCCACGCAGTCGTGTCCAGGGAAAACCAAACCTGCCAAGGAAAGTTCAAGTAGTGAAGACTCTTCTGACAGTTCAGATGATGAAAAGCCACCTGCAAAAAAAAAGCCAAAGTCCGGTAAATGCTAAATACCATTGCTTCTATGTGGGAGAGTACTTCTTGTAGGACAGCAGGATTTAACAGCTGACAGCCAAAGGCAAATCTTGCTGCACACAAACTTCTAAGTGCTGCTGATTTTGTGAACCAGAAACATAGCAGCTTTTTCCATGTGTGCTTTTGGGGCTAAGCTTAAAATTCAGACCTTCTCTCAGCAGAGGATGGAAACTGAGGAAGGTTCTGACTCTGCTTACTTGTCTCCTTATCCACTGTTCAGATGGCCCTTTAAGGCCCTTAAAGATTTCCTTTCTGTCAGAATTTGGAAATTAATTTGTCTGTAATTTGGTTATCCTGTAACTGCAATTTTTAAATTGTTTCAGGGCTGTTAAGTTGTGGTCCAGCTGATGGACTAAATGAGTCTCTGTTCAATACAGTATAGTGCTCTTAGTATTCCCTAAGAGGGTAGCTAAACTTACAGTAGAAGTAGTGGGTAGCAGTGGAGTAAGTTTAACATTTCAAATTACATCTGATATCTTTGTACATAAAAAGGAGGAGTTAATGGAACCGAGAAGCAGAAGTGATTTATTCTAACTATAACATCTTAGATATGCTGCTTGTGTTATCATATGGGCATCTGAATGCCGTTTCTCTGCAGGTCAGTACAGTGCTGTACCACCACCTCAAGCTGTGCAGACAAAGAAAGTCCTTGCCAAGACTCCAGTGAAAAAGGCTGACAGCAGTGACTCTTCAGACAGTAGTGATGAGGAAGAACAGATGCGTCCAAAGGGAGGAATGGGTACGTTGTGAGCAGGAGGCTTCAGAAGAATTGTTACATGGTGTAGTCAGTGTTATGGCAGTTTTTTGGATTCCATGAAAAAGGCATATGACAGGTCTATGTTACTATTTACTTCTCTGGAATTTCTGAGTAATTTGAAGCTATCTCATATGGAACACAGTGTATAAGCTCTGTATATGACTGTGCAGGTTGGATTATTTACACACGTTGGTTTGAAAAGTCATAGGGATCTTGTTTCACTCGGATGAGTCAGGCCCACTGCTGGAACTGGCCAGGTTCTTGCTTGGCTTCTAGAGTGCTGGCTGAATTACTAGTATACTGAACAGGGAGCTTTCTGGAAAGATTTGAACCTCAATACAAAGATTTTGTGTAGATATGACCTGTATTAATTTTAGACTTGCTCTTGCAGGCAAAGCAGCAGTAGCTAAAACAATTGTTACCCCAAAAAACAAAGCTGTGACTGCAAAGAAGGCTGATTCCAGTTCAGACAGTGACTCAGGTAATTCAAGAAATCATTTGTTATCTGTTGATGTTTTTGTTGGCTAAGGTGGTTTGCCATGGTGTATCTGTGAAAAACCTTTTGTTTTTGAGCTTAAAAGTTTCACAGTCTCCACAAGTTGTGAAATTGAGAAAAAGCCTGCTGTGCAGAGTGCATCCTGCTCATGAGGCACACCAGTGAGACCATGTTGCCAGGTGGGAAGGATGGAGGCATTGCATTTCTCCAGGAAGGTTCATGGTTAATCTTGTGTTCATATCTTAAGCTTTTCACTTTCTGTTTATGAGCTTTGGGAGAAGTTTTGAAAATAAAATATAAAATAAAAACCTATTACCACCATACCAAGTTTAATTCTAACCATAAATTCTAAAGTTGCTTTCTAATGCAGCCCAGCATACCATGCTTTTCTCCTCCTGTTTAAAGGTTTCCTGATTTGTTTTTCTCAACATTTGTAACGCTACAGTAGGGTTGTGGGTGTTAGCAGCCTGTCTGTCTGCAGACAGCTAGCACTAGACTGTGTGATCCTTTAACAAGTGCCAGGAGATCTGTGTTTTCTGTTTTTATTGTCTAGCTTTTCAGAAATGAACAGTGATTTGTTTGCTGTTGTGAAGAAAGTGTTCAGAGGTGTTGGTTGGAGTAGATCAGACATAGTATTCCAGGTTACTGTCAGGTGTAATTGTGCACAGAAATCTCCAGTCTCAGTCGTGGAATGTTGCTAAGCACATTTGACACAAAGTAGAATACTGAGCTACTGTCCTATTGCCTCTTCACTGTTCCTCCCTTCTTAATTTCTTGCCTGTTATTTGATCTTTATTGCTTATTTTCTTAACGTTTCTTCTCCTTGAGTTTGTTTTTGGTGATATTTGTAATTTCTTTTCCAGTCCCTTACTATAAATTGTACGTAATAATGTATATTTAACATATAAATCCTATTTAGCAAATATTTATCTGCTTTTTTGCGCATGCTTTAATAAATAGCTTAAATTTCTATTTGCGTTCACTTTTCCCAAGGGGGAAGATAGGTGCAAAGATGAATGCTGTCCCCTGCCCACTTGGGAAGCGTTCATCAGATGCTGCTCATTGCAAGTTATCCGTGGTTCCACACACAGCCACAACCAATGTCACTGTTCATTTTCTCATGAGTTACGTACATGTCATTACTAAAGTAACTTGTACCCCAAGGTTATTAACTGAAGAAATGTACTTCTTTTGTTCAGATTCTAGCTCTGAAGATGAGAAGAAGGTAGGGAATAAGCTCTCAGCTAAACAACCTGTGATAAAGAATGCTTCCAAACCAGCAAAAGCAGCTGCCAAGCCTGGACAAGCAAAGAAGGACTCCAGCTCCTCCTCAGACAGCTCAGGTACTGGGATAAGAGAAAAAATAATTATTGTATGTGTGTTGTACTTGTGAAATCTGTGTTTCCAGCTAGGGTGTGAGGTTGCAGTTGTATAGGGATTACCCAGTACAATCAATTAAAGAAGTGTACTGTGACAGCACTGAGTTTGTTAACTTCGTGTTGAAGGAATAGGGCTGAATCTTGAATTCTTCTTTCCCTTCTAGATTCTGATAGCTCTCACAAGAAGCTGCCTGTGAAGCCTGCAGCTAAAACAGCAACCCCTGCAGCAAAGAAGCCACAAGCTACTGCAAAGAAAGCACAAAGTAGCTCTGATTCAGATAGCAGCTCCAGCAGCTCTGAGGAGGAGAAGGCCCCTCCAGCTAAATTAGCTGGCAAAACAAGTAAGCCAGTGTCCAAACCAACCCCAGTGCCCAAAGCAAGCAGTTCTGACTCTGAGAGCTCAAGCAGTGATGAAGAAAAGAAGCCAGCAGTGAAACCAGTCAGCAAATCTACGGGGGCGGCAAAAGCAACTATAGGGAAGAAAGCAGCTGCATCTAGCAGTAGTAGCTCTTCTGATAGTTCCAGCGAAGAGGATGAGAAGCCCAAAAATTCTGGGAAAGGGGCACAAAACACTTCTCAGACTGCTGCCTCCACAGAGAAAGCAAAAGCATCCACACCAGCAGCCAAGAACCAGAAGTCTAAGCCAGCTGGTGACAGCAGTAGCAGCAGTGAAAGCAGTTCTGAAGAGGAGAAAGGAAAAGCAAATGGAGGTATTGCCTACAGTCTGGGAAGTGGGACCATCAGTCAATATGTTACAGAGTTAAACATCTGTGGGAGCCTTTCTTGAATGGTTTTCAGTCTACTTTCTGTGTCACGTTATATTATCTGGTGCAGTACAGAGAGGGAAGAACCATTTTTTGATTTACTGTTCCTTTTTGTCTACATTGCATATCTTCTGACAGTGGAATTTATGATGACATGAAACTCACTTCTGTACAGTTGTTGTTAGTTGCTGTCTGTGCATTTATTAGTTATTAGTAACACTATGCAGACTGCTAGGGGACCTCAATATTGTGAATGGATCACCACAGGTACAGCTCCAGTGCAGAATCTGTTTTATATAGACAGGAGGGAAAATGCTTACAATGAACTGGAGGTGTGCTCAAGTACGTACTGTGCAACTCCAAGAATTGGCAAATTTTAACTGACAGAACTTTCTTAAATTCACTAAATCATTAATGTAGAAGTACTCAGTTACATAAAATTTATGTTCACCCATTTAGATAGATAGGATTGCAAAATCCTTGCTCAGGGTGGCTATTGGTGTCTGGTTTTCGGTTGTTGGGTTTTGTTTTTTTTTTTTGGTGGGATAATGTAGAGATTGATGTGTCTCAAGACTACATTTTGTGGGAGAGATGCCATTGTCTTTTTGTACATTGCAGTTACTTGAAGTTTTACTACTCTACTTCTAACAGGCATAGTCGAGAAGAAACAGAAGAGAGAAGTTGTTCAGGAGTCAGAGACACCAGACAATAAAAAGGCAAAGAACAAACCTAAAACACCACATACAGTTCCGAAAGTGAAACGGGTGAGTGAGAGCAAGCTGCTGATTGGCAGGAGAGGTATCATCTTTGCATGCTAAAATAATAGGATTCTTTTGTGGGATTTCTTTTTTCTTTGGGCTCGAGCCATAGGAATTACTTATGTTTTTGTGTCTGGAGAACCCTAGGTAATACACATAATATTATTCTTGCAAATGCTGATTGGATGTGCTTCCACAGGAGCATCCCTGTGCTACCTGATTGTTAAGATTTTAGGTGACCCATACAGGGACAGAGCGGGAAGGAGATTGTCCCTAAGGGAAGATATGTGCTAATATGTGCTTAGCGTGTCTCTTTTTTTTTTAACAGGCAGCTTCTCCTTTCCGACGTGTAAGAGAAGAAGAAATTGAGGTGGATGCCCGTGTTGCTGATAACTCCTTTGATGCAAAGGTATGGTTAGGTGGTGCACAGAGGGGGAGGGGAGCACTTGACCTGTGTGAATATAGGTCTCCGGAGCAGATGTTTGAGCAGTCATGTGGTGGGAACTTTTTCCACCAGGAGGTGCTGTTAGGAGGTGCATGAGCACTTGTGCACATACACTGGCTGGAGGAGTGCACAAGAGTATTGTCGGCTCCAGTATTTCTGTACTGGCACTTACTGGGCAGGATGAAAGGCAAAGTATTGCTTCAACTCTTTTGAATATTGATATGAATTTCTTCTTCCTCTCCCTGTTCATCCCTCACAGAAAGGAGCAGCTGGTGACTGGGGCGAGAAGGCTAACAATATCCTGAAATTCACTAAGGGCAAATCTTTTCGCCATGAGAAGACCAAGAAAAAACGAGGCAGCTACTGTGGGGGCACTATATCAACCCAAGTAAATTCAGTCAAGTTTGAAAGTGAATGAGAATGTTTCCTTGAAAATTTGTGAAACCGTCAGCTCACCAGAATCACTTGGGTGGGCACTTGGATTTTATGGACATGAAACCGTCCTGGAACGCAACCTTCCACAGCCCCCTGTGGGGCAGGCAGCTTCAGTATGGGGGTATGGGAGAATGGTTGGACAATTCCCTCCTTCATTTCTATCTAATATTGATTTAGGCCCCTCATGTGAAACCATCCTTGAGCTGGTGTTAAACACCACTAGGGTGACCTCCAAGACTTAAATTTTCTAGTCTTATTTTAAAAGACAGTAATTTTTTGTTGTTGTTATTTTGTTCTAGTTTCCTGTCATCTAGTAAAAGGGAGAATTTATTTCCCTCTAACTTAACCCACTGTTTCTTTTTTGGCTAGTTTAACTTGGATACCTGTGAAGCTGCAAGTACTGTGACTTGCCTTTGGCTGGTTACACTAAGAGCAGTGACCCATTTGAATCCTGTGGCTGTAATCTCCACCCATATCTGACATTTCAAATTCACAGTTGCAGTGTGTCCAGGTTTTTATTTTCTGATTGCTTCATATTGCAATAAACTCTTACCTTCCTCTTCCCTCAATTCCTATTAAGGGTACTGGTCAGAGTAGTTAAAGAAGGAGAGTAAATTCATCTCAGTAGCTGAGGAATCACATGGCTTGAAGTTACAAGTTGGCCAACGTCTTTACTGTATTATTGTGGCACTTTTGGTAAGGCTTACATTGGGAATGTAGCCAGGGAGTGGAGATAGCCTCCATACAGTCAATAGTTTCTGCTGTCATTGGAAGAAGTGTCTTTGGCTCAGCGGGAATGCTTAAGGAAGAGGAGAAAGTGAGATTTTTTTGTTTATTTTTAGTTTTTTTTTAACCCAGCTCAGCTTTTTGCTGTGATTTGGGTTTGTTTTTTTTTTCCAAAGAAGCTTTGACTGCAGCATGGCACCACTCTGTTCTCTCTGAGCATATAATGTGCCAATTTATGCTTACTAAATAATGTGCCACACAGATTGATCAATGATGAGATGAATGTAACATTAATGCCTTAAATTGCCTTGGGTTAAATCACTTGCTCTCTTTCAGCTTTTTTCTACTTGTGAAGTCCCTCTGAAGAAGCAAAATGCCAGTTTCCCATCACCTTATTGCATATAGTTTGGTGTTGTGTTGCACCACAAGTTGTGTAGTGTGAGTGGAGTCTCAAGTTCAGTAATTACATCAGGAAGTGAGATTTTATAAGCAACTGAGATGGTCTGAAGGCTTGCTGCTGTTGAGAGATCTTCCTTTTCCTCCATTAGGTGGATTAAGTTAATTTTAGCCTATGGAGCAGTATGCTGAGCACATAGCCGGTATGAGTTGAAAGGTGTAGAACATCTGTGGGAAAAGAGGGCAGTGGGCTGTGAGATTGCCTTGCCAAATGCTGTGACACCGCTGCCCCTCAGAGGCTGTTTTCATGCCCTCCCAGGGGGTTGCCAGTAAGAAGAGCCCCGTTGCTGCAGGAAGCCACAGTTGTATGCAAGGCAATGTCTCATAATTCAGCATTGCTTGCAACTGATGAGCTAACTCCAATTGCAGATGCTGCAACTTGTTTCCATGAGCATTTTCAGGGCTTCCCCTTGGGCTTGCACAACTGGGCTGGTTGCTGGATCCTAGGCAACCGTGCAGAGGGGCCGGGGGAAGAGGGGTGCAGATATCACACAGCATTCAATGTTGGAGGCCAAAGGAAGGTGGGAAGGGTTTTTACCTGTGCTAGGGATGCGAACAAAACCTTGCTTATAGTTTATCATTTTAGTTTGTCATTTGCCCTCTTCTATTTGAACTCTCACTTTGTAGCTGCTGAAAGACACTTTTTAAAAACTGTCGTGCTTGGGGTATTTTATGTGTGGGCACTCAAGTGTCTCTGAAAATAAAGATTGCTGCCTTTGTAATCTGTGTGCGTTTGGTGGGGGGGGCTGGCGGGATGTGGGAGGGGTTGGGTGCTGTATCTCAAAGCTGCAGCACTAAAGCTGACTGCATCTGTTTGCACCCAGTTCTTATGGCTGGAATTGGGTGTTCAGCTGGATGTAAAGGGCCTGCAGAAGTGAGTGGTGCCTGTGCAGCTGGCTAGTGGGTGCTGTTGCAGCAAGCTTGGAGAGGACTACAAGGTTATTTACTGGTGTCAAGACAAGCCTAGACTTCTTGAGACCCCTTGCACCAGCTCTCCTCCAGTGCTGCTGCCAGACTAACCTTAGGTGTTCAGCAATGTAAGTTAGGTAGCTCAAACCTGTGGGAGTAAGAAACAATAGGTGCAACTGGAAAACGTGGATACCTATTAAAGGTGTAATCTGCGTTCCCTTTGATGCCTTCCTGCTCTGTGACAGCATGCGCAGGGTAAGGAAACGCCCTGAAGAGCAAGGCCTGCTGCAGGTCTTGTGCTGCAGTGCTGGTTTTCCCCTCGTGCTGCACCTCCAGGGAAGGCCGGGAGAGCAGAAGTGCCGCGCTGGTTGGCCCGCCGTGATCAATGCCATCCATCAGTCAGTCCGTAACCACTGCCCTCCATCTCGAACGTGCTGTATGAGGAGATGGTGTAACGCTGCCCGCGGTCTCAACAGCACACGCAGAACCTCACAGGCTCCGCTGGAACACCGGTCTGAGCAGTGCTTCGTGGCACTCTTAAGGAGAGACTGCTTCTGGAGCTGCAGGGCAGGCTCAGCCTACATCTCTGCTCTGCCGCCATTCCCGCGGGTTAGCCCGCTTTCAGCTTCGGTGGAGCCAGGATTAACGTCGAACAGGACAGGCAGGACGGTCTCCCCTGGGACGTGCGGTGCCGGTACGGGAGCCCTGCTGTACAGCCACCATCCTGCCCCCGTCCCAGCCCGGAGAGGGCTCCCGGCCCCGCGTGCCCGTGCGGCTGCAGAACCCCCGCGCCGCCCCCCCTCCCCGCACGCCATCTCTGCCCACCCGCGGCCGCGGGGACGGCCCTCCCACCGCTCCTCCCGCCCAAGCTGGAGGGGCCGGGGCGTGGCGGAGCGGAGCAGCCCCGGGGCCGGGGCCGGGCCGGGGCCGGGGCCGGGGCCGCCCCGCCCGCGCCCTCCGCCGGCCGGCATGAAAGGGGAAGGCGGGCGGGCGCCGGCCGCTCCCTTACCTTCTCCGTGCCGCTCGGGCCGCGGCTCTGTGCAGGTGGGTGCCGGGCCGGGGAGGGCTGCGGGGAGAGAGCCTCGGGGGCGGCGCCGCGCCGTGGGTGTTTGAGCGCTCCGCTGGCGGTGGGAGGGACGGGGCGCTGCGGGAGCTCCGCCGCCTTCACGGGGCTGCTGGAGGGCGCGAGCTGGGCGCCCGCCTCGCCGTGCGGATGGGAGCCCGGATACCTTGGCGCTTGAGCCTCAGTGCCGCTCGCTGCATCTTCCTCTCGGGGACCGCATCTCAGGGGCAAACTTCCCTCCCCTCCTTCCTCCTCCTCCAGTCCAGCCCTTGTTGATGGTAGTTTGGGGAGGTTCCACTCCTCCGCTCCTGCTGTGTCCTCAGAGCCAAGTAGGCTTTTTGTTTGTGCTTTTTTTGGTTGTTGTTTGCTTGTTTTGTTTGTTGGTTTTTTGTTTTTTGGTTTTTGTTTTTTTTAACGTGAAGGTGTCAATGATTTTACAGAAGATGAGTCTTATCTCCAGCTTCTCTGTCTCTGTAATTCTGCTAAACATGGCCCGACTCGTCTGGCAGGGCTTTATCAATCCCAGGTGCTTCCTACACAGGTTGCACAACCTCCTGGGATGCTTAATGACTTCTTCCTTTTAATGTGGTGCTCCTCCGCAGCAAGGAGCCAAAATGACAGAGCAGTGCTGGGAAGGCTCTCACTCCTCCCATCCCTCTGACCTCTCTGAAGCTCTCTGCTTTCCTGGCCCTCTACTTCCCTCTCCAACCTTGGGAACCTGTTCAACCTGAGCATCCTACAATCCTCTTTTAGCCCAAAGCGTGCACCGAGCTGTTGTGTGTGCTCATAAGATCTGTGGCTCACGTGAATATTTGGGAACTGCTCTGGCTGGCTGTCCCTGATGCTCTCCAAGAGCCTCATCTCAGCTGCTTCTGGTCTTGCAACCGTGTTGCAAACAAGAGGGGAGCCTTCCTACAAGCCTGCTGGTGCAGCACGCAGTGCTACAGAGTGGCTCCAATCCTGACATGTGGCACCTGGGAAGTTTGTGCTTATGGAGTGGGAGAACCTATACTGTCACATGGACAGGTTTAGTGTATGGTCAGAGTGAAAGCAAAGGTGTTGGTGCTGGGCACCACCGGGTAGTCTGAGTTCTTGGAGCTGTGTGTTTTCAGATGCCCTGATAAACTGACACACAGACTTTAATTTATTCTCCTGGTTGTTAAGGATCATCTGTTCTGTTTGGTTCCCTGTTGTGAGCTACAGGCTGCCAACATGCTGCTGGCTCACGGATCCCCACCATGCCTGCACAGCTTCCTTTGTACCACTTCGATGACCCAGGAATGCTGTTGGAAATGGCCCCGGGCCTAAAAGTTCTAACCTGATTCAGGACTGCATCACTCCATCCAAAATAGAAGAGGGTTAGCTTCTGATGCTGTTGTGTGGAAGTGGTACAAGGCACTGGTTGCTCTGTTAGCTTGGTTGCTGGTGTGATTCTCCCTCTGATCTTTGGGAGATGTGGGCTTTGCTCCGTCTTGGAACTTCTTGTGGCTGCTGTGAGAATGTCAAATGGGAAATGCCAGGAAGGTTCGTTGCTCTGAGGAGACCCTTTGAACACTGCTCATTCTGCAGGTGAACAGCATTATAAAAACAACAGCAACAACAAAACAAGGCAAGGCTTTATTCAGCACTGTATCTTCTAGGTTTTCACCAGAGATTCCCCAGGGCAGCTCCCACTGGTAACACATTGCTGTCCTGCAGCAGCTGTGCTGCTCCGAGCCGCCTCCCTGCATGGGACTGGTGTTTCCATCCATTAGCCACAACTGAGTAGCTGCCATCAGCCTGGTAGTGGCAGATAGTGCTGTTTTCTCTGGATTACACCCAGCAGATGAGGCAAACTTTGGTTTAGAGCACTCAGGTGAAGATGCCTGTTGGTTCTTTGTTAATTCCTGAGAAGTTTACAGGGAAAAATACTTCTTCATACTGTGGGCAAGAGTGGGGTGGAGACTAGAAAGCAGAGGAGGAAATAATGGAGCCCTGTGCATTTGGATTTCCCACTCCTAGGCAATAGGAACCAGGCAATACAAAATACTGGAGGGGAAAGGAGAAGTGTACATATCTTTCTTGCTATGGGGTATTTGCTCATCACCCTTTGTTTGTGGGCATCTACCTGGTCTGCTTGCTGCTGAAGGTTTTAGTGCTTCAGCCCAATACAAAGCACCCAAAAAAGAATCGTCTGTCTTTAGAGCTGTGGCTGTTGGTTGCTTCAGTTACATTGATAATATATTCCATTAATGTTGAAGTCCTTCCCTCTCAAACGTAGTGCACAGAGCTGATCTCAGCCTGAATGGAGGCATCCTGGGCTCTTAGTGATAACTGTGCAGTTTATGTGATTTTGCTGAACATTTGTCATGCAAAGGGAAGGGTGTATTTTGCCTCCTCGCAAACCTTTCCCTTTCCTTTCATTGTTATTTCTCACAGTATTCAGCCCTTAACCCAACACTTCCACACCACAGAGGCAGAGAATCCACCCCCAGCAGGATTACACTCCAGTGCCGCACAGTTTGGTGGTTTTTTGTTGAAGACCATTTGATCTCAGTCCAGTGGTGGCTGTGGGAGTTGTGCTCATGCAGCTGGAGGGCTGGGCTGCACCAGTGCCTACAGGTGCCTCTCTGGGCACAGGCAGTGCAGAGAGGTGCCTCAGGGCTTGCAGCCATGCTGCTGGCTTTGACCAGCCTGCTCCTGCTAACAGAGGGATGGGATGCTTTTCTTATGGTTCTTCTCTTGGTTCACATCTTGCTTCACCACATCCCCGTAGCCTCTTTGGGGCTTAGTCTGTGGGGCTGTCCTACATCCACTCACAGTTGTTCCCGCTGTAACTCCTTCCCCACTCCCTTCCCAGCAAGTCTGAACTGGGTCCTCAGGACATGGCTCTGCTTCTGACTGTTCCCGAATAATTATCATGTAATTCTTCTCCCAAAATAATATGGGGTGTGGGTGAGGTGCATTTGCTTCCAGTGATGTAGCAACACCCCTTACACAAGAGAAACGCTGTGTGTTTCACTAAACTGGGAATGGGGTGACAGCTGTAGGAGTGTGACTAAGGGGCGTCAGTGTGCCCTGGGTGTTGCACATCGTCTCTGGGACTGCTTTCAGGGGTTGCTCTTTCCCACTGCATGGATATTCCAGCACCTGCTTCACCTTTCCAGCCTTTTCCACTGATCTCCCACAGCTGATCCATTACTGGGGAGGGGGCAGCTCACCACCCAGATCCCTCCTGTATTCCCTGAGGTGTGGGCTCTCTCCTGCCTTTTCTGCACCAAGCATGGTGGTTTGCAATGATAAAGGCAGAGTGTGCTGCCTGGCTGGGCTCTGCAGGCCTCCTGGGGAGTGCATGGCCACCAAGGTCTTGGAGGCAGGCAGAAATAGAAATGAAATCCAGCTGTGCTGATCCTGTAGTGATGAACGGGGATGGAGCTACAGGTGCCCCAGCTGGTGCTGTGAGCCAGCAGGGCCCCTCTGATTGCTCCTCTCTGCAGTCAGCCCACCTGTTCTTGGGCACAGAAAAGAGGCTCTGAATTTCTGGAAAACACACATCGTACACCCTAGTATCTGACATTTTTGTTGGTTTTACTTGTGCTTTCTTTCCTTTCTTCTCCCTTTAGTGAACTCCTCGCTGCTCCCTTCTCCCACCTTAGGAGCTTCTGGATTGCAGGCTGCAGTCTCAGTTGTTAGCTGTCCAAGCGTGTGGCCGAGCCTTTCATACAATATAAATGGCACATGTCTCTCCTTGCAGTGAAGAAGATGAAGGTATTACCGTGCCCGGCTGCTCTTCTCTTCGTAGTGGCTGCGTTCAGCCTGGAGCCGTGCCGCTGTGCCAAGGTGCTGATCATGCCCACCATCGTCTTTGACAGCCACTTGCGAGTCTTCATGCGCGTGGCAGAGGCACTGACTGAGCGGGGCCATGACCCCGTGCTACTGCTCCATGAGGCTCGGGATGTAGAAGCCCACCTGCCTGCCTTCCGCGTGCAGAGGTACTGGGGCATCTTCAGCACGCAGAGCGCAGATGCATGGGTGCAGGAGAAGATAAAGCGTGTCTTCCAAGGGAAGATGACCTCTCTGGAGATGTTCTCCTTTTTGGAGAAGTACCTGGAAAACTGTGACCTTGTGCTGGGAAACTCTACCCTCCTGCAGAAACTGCAGCATGAGCACTTTGACCTGCTGCTGGTGGATCCCAATGAGATGTGTGGCTTTATCCTGGCTCATATCCTCGGTGTCAAATATGCTGTGATCTCCACTGGCTTCTGGTTTCCAGCAGAGATTGGTGCCACTTCCCCCATTGCCTATGTCCCTGAGTTCAATTCCCTGATGACTGACAGGATGAGCTTCTTTGGTAGGACTTGGAATCTCCTGGTCTACATGATCACTCGTGTGGCTACAAAGCTGGTCATCCTGCCCAAGTTTGAACGTCTCATGGAGAAGCATGGGGTGGAGCCCAAGATATCCATGCTAGACCTTGTCCATGGATCGAGCCTCTTCTTCCTCTGTAATGATGTTGTGCTGGACTTTCCCCGGCCAACGCTCCCCCACGTCATTTTCACAGGAGGCATCCTTGCTGAGCCTGCGAAACCTCTTCCAGTGGTAAGTGCAGGAAAGCTTTGAGCCATGGTTGCCTATTAACCATGGGGGGATACTTGGTGCAAATCTTCTGTAGAGCTATGTAAGTGCTGTGAGGCTGTTTTGGTGCCAGCATGCAGTAAGGAGATTGGGAGCACTGATGACTGTGGGTCTGCAGGAAGGGTACAGAGTTGTCTGCCTTGAAGTAGGAGTCAGCCATGTTATCAGTGAAAAATTATGTGTCCTGTAATGGCAGTATTGTCTCTGGGAGTAGTTCACAAGTAAATTGTTCCTACATTTTAAGAGAAAGTAGGAAGAACAATCAGTCTTTGTTGCTTCATCACTGCCTTAAATTAATCCAGAATTTCTTCTTTAATCCAGTTTCTCACAAGGTGTTTCTGCCTACAAGTATGTAGCCTTAAGAACAAATAAGGGAGAGCTGTGTTTATTTTCTTATCAAATTCACTGTGGAGTTCCCAAAGTATACAAAACCAAGATATATTGTTCTCTCTTTCATAAGTGCCAGCCCTGAGGAAAACTCCCTAGGCATCCCAGAGGCTTTCCCTGATCTGTACCTCTCTATCCCTAGTAATATCCCTAGTAATAAATTAAGAAGGACAAGCCCATAAAGCCTCCATATGAAGACAGCATTGGAATGGAGAAGGACCTGTCTCCCATTCCTCTCACTGCTTTAACACTTTTACAAACAGTGTGGGGAAATAGGCTTGGATAATATCACTGAGGCAGTTGGGTTGTCCTGCTGTCCCAACTAATAGACTGAAATAGAGATAAGATTCAAGTTTCACCTGATTAAATGCCTGTGAAGAACTCTGATTGCAGCTTTATTTGTGACTGTGGATTCCCTTTTTGAAGTTAAAAGGAGGAAGTGAGATTAGGTGCTTTGAATCAGAAGTCCTCAAGATAAGTATGGCTGCACATTACTCTTTCCAGTGTGACACAGCGTGCAGATAATGCAATTCATGTAGGATGCACCAAAATCTGTGTCAGAGAGTGACTGCCTTGCAGATCTTGCAAAACATTAGCTTGGTCCAATCTGGACGCATACACGCCTGCCTTGTAAAGAAGGGAGTTGTTTGTTGTGGCATTACTCATGTGCTTCATGGCTTCCAGAGCCCAGGGCATCCAAGGGAAGAATGATGGAGATAGGTCCGGAGCCAGGTGGTAGGTGGCGGCAGGCGGCATCCCATAATCCATGCCCAGGTTATGGGATGGCAACTGGAGAGAGGCCCTTGGTAGATCTAGGTGTAGCTTAAGGAATTTCCCATCTCTGCAAGAGCTGGGTTACGTAATTAAAGGATTTATTTCCTCATCTGAAACATCATGGTAGAGAGTCCCTTTAATTAGGGCACAGTGGAATATAGCTATATATTTGAGAGTTAAGAATCTCCTACTTCTCGTAGCAACTTTAATGCTATTTCTGAAAGCCAGATGTGAAGGCCTATCTATAATGGATAGTGTAATCCTCTGCCTCATGAGTCACTGAAGTGCTATCCAGCAAAGCCAAGCTAGTACTTCCTCTTCCTTAATAGTTCTAGTAGTTGTATTGCCCAAAAGGAAACATGGGATTCAAGAGAAGTGAGAAACCAAACCCCCTTTTTGAAATCATTGTGATTCTTGGCTGCTGGTGGGGTTTAGGGCTCTTCTGCAAAGAAAGACTCAAGTCCCCATAGTACCTGAGAAAGGGCAAACATCCCCAGATAGTAACACTAAAATCTGCTTTGTAACTCCTATACGCCTATGATACTCAACATTGTAGGTTCTGCTAGTAAAATATTCTGGTTTAATCTCCCAAATTTCTCCTTAAAAACGGGGTGAGTTTTTGTGCTCTTTTTACCCTTTGTGTTCTTAGATAATGTGTTGTTTGTTTGTTTCAAGAAAGTATCATATTCCAAGACGTTTTGAGAAACTCCCCTAAAATGCTTCTGATGGTGAGCTGCTACATGGGGAACTTGAATGCAGACAGAATCCATAGTGAGAGGTGCCCAGCTCAGCGTATAGGAGAATTTATCTGCTTCACAGCAGCTGTGCTGGCTGATGTCTCCTAGTTTCCTTGCTTTCCCCAGTTAAAAAGAGATGGATTTGGCTTCATCTTTTCCATAGGCTGTTCTCTGCTGGCAGAGGCAGCAGGAGGGAGGGCCTTTCTCCAACAAGATTTTGACGCATCTGTGTGTGTTTTACCCACAGGATCTGCGTCTCTGGGTGGAAGCAGCAGATGCAGGTGTTGTTGTCGTCTCCTTTGGCATTGGGATCCGAGCTCTTCCCACTGACCTGGTGGAGAAGATGGCTGGTGCGTTTGCCCGCCTCCCACAGCGAGTGGTGTGGAGGTGAGGAGGGCAAGGGATTCCTTTTAACTTGAGTTGGATGAAAATCACAGTTTCCTTTCCCTCTCTTGATCTGATTGAATTTGTAATTGCGTGTGTCTTTTCCCAACTTGTTCTTGACTTCACCCTACAGATATTTCGGACAGAAGCCAAGAAACCTGGGTGAGAACACACTGATGATGGACTGGCTGCCCCAAAATGACCTGCTAGGTAAGGCAAGGTGTGTGTGTGTGTCTGTATGTGTACGCCTCTAGCAACATCCCTGGTGTTTAGTCCAAACTACAGCAAAGATGTACAAGAAAAACAGCACCCTTATGGGTCAAAATCTCTCACTTGTTGCGTGTATCATCTGTAAATAACACGATCTTCATCTAACACCTGTTTTGAAGCTGTATCTCAGCTGATATCTCCCACCTCCTCTTGACTGTGTCCAGCAAATTTGGGCTGCCAAGATTAATGTTCAGTCTCTCTGCTCAGCATGCTTGGCTTTCACTAAGCACATGCAAACTGCATGCCTTGAAGAAGCCACCGATAGCCCTGTTTTGGTGCAGAAGGCACTGATCTGCTCTGTTTCTCTGCCTGCAGGCCATCCCAATGTGAAAGCCTTCGTCAGCCACTGTGGGATGAATGGAATATTTGAGGCCATTTATCACGGTGTGCCAGTGGTGGGGTTTCCATTCTATGGGGATCAGTTTGACATCATGACCAGAGTGCAGGCGAAGGGCATGGGTATCCTCATGGACTGGAACAGTGTGACAGAAGAGGAGCTTTACCAGGCTGTTGTCACGGTTATCACTGACCCCAGGTAAGGTATTCAGGTGAATTGAGCTCATCCTTGGTGCTTATTGTGTGCGGAGGCTGGTGTCTTTCTGAGATTTGCTGTGGCACTGTGACACAGTGCACCCACTGCCTAATATGACAGAAGCAAATAGTGGTTAAAGTGCTATCCAAGAACTTTATTATTTTTTAAATCAGCTGTTAGGAGCCCCTACTACTGACCTCAGAGTAAGTAGCTAGGTGTTAGCAGTTGGCAGGCTGAAGGATTTGGCCGGTCACCAGATGTGACTGGTGCTGGATGAGGTATACTGGCACAGGCTGCCCTCAGACAACAACGATCTGCCTGCAGCCACTCAGCAGCCCCCCTACTAAAGAACTTGAACTGAGGGAGCCTTGCTAACATGTAACATGCTCTCTGGCATCAGAACAGCTCTCACTGCACATACAAAGAAAATCATGGAGGAAATGTGTCTCTGGCCCAAGGAAACACCCGCTCATTGAAGGCACCACTGAATAGATCACGCCACTTCTCAGCTCTGAAGCCCCTGTCAGAACAATAATTTCTTGTCCTCTTCCCTTGCAGCTACAGAAAAGCAGCTAAACTCATCTCTGCTCTGCACCTGGACACTCCGATGCATGCTCTCAACAGGACAGTGTACTGGCTGGAGTACATCCTCCGTCATGACGGGGCACCATATCTCCGCCCTGCTGTCTATGATCTCTCCTTGTACGAGTACTTCTGCCTGGACATCTTGGCTCTCCTCCTGCTGTGCCTGGCCAGCGTGGGATTTGTCCTCTACAAGTCTGTGGTGTGGTGCAGGAGGAAGGCGTCCAGCCCTGTCTATCAGAATGGCAATTGTGTGAAAGGCCACTTCACAGAACAGAAGAAATCACAATAGTGGCTCAGTGTGTTCTAGGGCACATCCCTTCAGTGTGAAACGAGCTGCTGCCATGCCAAGAAATGTACGGCACGCAGGCACAGTGAGAGGCGAGAGATAAGTGGGTCTGGATGAGAAGAGCCGGGGGGAGGGAGGACTATTGCGAAGGCCGATGTGCACACCTCTGTGTACTGGTGGGCGGGGATGTGAATTCAGGCATGGGTGGAAGTACTTGGCCAGGACGCTGGGAGTGGGGCATGGGTAGGGACTTCCAGGGAGGAGCAAGAGCTGTTCCCTTCTTACTGCGCGTTGGTTTAGATGCTGGTGTTGCTCTTCTCTCTTTCTGCATCTCTGTGGTAACTCTGGAGGTAGGAATAGCATTTGGTTTTAGGCTGGTTCTGTTTCTCCTCTGGCTTGTTACCAGGAGCCCCGAGAGCCAGGATTCCTTCTTTCAGGTGAGGACCTGAGCAGAGCTGTGGGCACGGAGGGGCACTGGAAGTATTGTCCAAAAGAGAATGAAATCGTTCTGTTTAAAGTTCTGTGGGTAAATATCGTTCTTCCTGCTTCTTTCAACCCTTGGCAATCTTCTTTGTGTTTGAGCTAAATTATTATTTTTTTTAAATAAAGTTATGTTCTTTCCTCCATGTAGCAGTGCTCCAGTCTTGGTTTAATGCGAGTCTCTGAACTTTGTTTTTTCCCTTTTTGTCACCACTGCCACTCCTCCATGTACCTCTGGGCCCCTACTGACAGCTGTAAGCAGCTTATCTTGGCCTTCCCACAGCTCTCATACTGCCTATTCTACTCCACCTGTAACGCATCCATGACTGTAGAACTTCTAATCCTGTAGGAAAAGAAGAATTCGGAGCAGACGTGTGTGCTTGGGCCACAGGAAGATCAGCCAGTAGCTTGGGGAGCTCACACAGGCAATGGGCCGTGCACAGGCTGTTCATAGAAGCAACGACCTCTGCTCATTCTGAAGAAAATGTCCCTCTCATTTCAACGTGAGCAGACACGCTCTTGTCCCCATCGGGGATGTGGTATGGAGTGATACCCACGTGTTTTTACTCACTCTGGGCTCTGAGGCAAACCCACACCTGGGTGCAGTTGCACAACCTTCCCACAGCGCTGGCTCACGGCCCTGCTGGTGATGCCCTGTGCTGAGGCCTCCGCAGAGCTGCCAGAAGCTTGAGAGTAACCTCACTGCCACGTCTGCCCTTGCTGACATTTCCAGGCTCTGCTCCTGATGGCTTCTGTGTGTGTTTCTCATTCCAGCTGAGGTGCAGCACAGCGTGTAACCTAGCGAGCAGCGGTTTGGCTGGGCTCCTGGGGTGCCCAGGGTTGGGGCAGTGCCCAGCTCTGACTCGGTGCTTCGCTGACACTTGGCAGTGCTGCCTTCCCTCCCCAGCTCTCAGCATGCAGCAGGGCTGCAGTAGAGGTTTCAGACATCATTCCTGTCTAGGGTGAGTGAGAACAGGCTGTGGCCCTAAACTGCTGCTGTTCTTCCTGAAATTTCTGACAGCTCTTGGGGTACCCAAGGCTGGCTGCAGGCAGTCATGGGCTTGGTGATCTGCTGGGCTGCTACAAAGCAAAGCCTACGTGGCTTCGAGATTAGGACATGGAATGCAATTTTTCCCAGTGGAGGATAAGAGAGCAAGGTGAGCTGCTATAATGAATAGGGGAGTGTGCATGGATGGTGGAACCATTGGCCACGTGGCACCTTTCTGCCTCCAACTTTAAATTTCAAGGTTGGTATTTTCTGGGGGGGAAATATATTGGTGCCAGTTCTGCAGTGTGGCTGCAGGCTGCCATGTGGTGGCTTTGTCATCAGCAGGGGCACCAGGGCCTGGTGGAGGCTGGAGACTTGCACCTTGTTTTGCTTACAAGTGAAAGAGTAGGGAGGATTTTATGGCCCAAGGAGGCTGCAGGCAAAAAAAAAACAGAGCCCAAAGACCATTTTCCAGCTTGCTGGCAATGCTGCCTTCTTGCTGTTTGCAGATTCAGAGATTCAAGGCAGTAAAATAAAAGTATGGCACCACCAGCATTTTGTCTGCTGCCAGTGATGTCCTTAAGCTCTTCATGACTACTCTCACTTCCAAATGTACAGCAGAGTCTGGAAGCATATTCAGCCAGGGAGTTAAAATATGCATATGAAAAGAGATTTCAACAATTCAGTGAGAAAGCTACTTTTAATGAAGTAAAGCACAAACCCCTGCACAAGGATCTCATGAGCAGGCAGTGGCTGTTCAGAATGTACCCCAGAGAGTTGTCCCCAGGTAGAGCAGCGTATGAATTTGGAAATGGCCAGGAGTTGTTCTTTGAGTAACGGGGTGGTTCTCTGCAGGTATTTGGATTTATCTGTCAAAGAGGACTCCTAGCTTTCCATCTTTATTCCTAACTTCCTTAACTATTCTGTGTTCCTGCTAAAGGCACAGCTTTTCTGTTTGGATTTCTCCACATTAATCTGTCAGTGTTGAATACAGAGGGAAAGTACAACACTGCTTTCAGCTGGTTGTTAGGTTCGATTACCAATAATGAGCAGTCTGTCACAAACACAGGCAGGGTCAAAACCTGTGCTGGGGAAGGGATGGAGTGAGTTCTGCCTGTCAGGCAGCCCTGCTTCCTCCTCTCTTCTTCCTTCTTGGCTGCTGTGTGCCCTACTCTGCCATACACAGGGGCACCAAGCAGGCAACAAATCCTCCCCCCCTTTTCTCCCCCTCGAGGAGAAGTTGGAGAGGACTCAATACTTTCCTAAAGCTGAGCCCTTTGCTGCCTTCACACTTCACCACTGCTGCTGGTTCACAGGGAGCCCAGCTGGAGTGCTGGCAGTCTCACCTTTGCCCACAAACTCCTGCCAGGGCTCTGTGGGCAAGGAGGCACAGGGAAAACACTTTTGAGGCTTTCTGAGTTCATCCAGCTGTATGGGGATCCTGCTCTGTGCAAGTCCAACAGGCCTCACTTGCAGGCACCTTGGGTCTGCAAATGAATGTGTTTTCCAGGGTCAGACTCTGGGCTGGGGACAGGCAGGTGTGAAGGAGCGCAGCAGGATTTGCCAGCTGCTCATAAGGTACTGCTGATCAATCCCAGTGCTTCGTACGCAGGAGGGTCCTGGTGTGCCTTCCATGTCAGCATCCCAACAGGAGAGCCTGTCCTCAGCCTACAGCGACCACGTCAGCTCCTCAGCTGGTTTTTCCAGTCTGGGAAGGTGAAGGCACCAAATTGTGTCAACAAAATTTGGCTAATAAGGGGGAACCGTCTCCCTCTGCAGGCAAGTGTGAAATCACAGCGACTGTGGGAGGAAAGCGTCCAGGATGGCTCCTTGAAGGCTCCAAGATTTTGACTCATCCCATCATTAAATGGCAGTGAGCAATGAGCAAGAGATGAGAGAGTTTCCTTGTACCTGTGTGCCAGCAAACCTTCCCTTTGGCTGGTGCGGGAGCCTGGGCCAGCCCAGCCACAGCCACTTGCTCACCAAGGGCAGGATCTGCCTGTGGGCCCCTCCCTGGTTGTCCCTATGCCCTTCGTTGATCCTCTTGAGGATATGACAATGCCTTCCTTTGATTCTTCCCCATTAGAGTTATTTATGGCTATCTTATCCACCATGAGAAGTTCTCCTCCGGGATCGTGGACTCTCTCAGCACAGAGGGCAGAGTTCTCCTCCCTTCAACCAATTTGTGGCTCTTTCTGTGCCCGTTTGGCCAGGTCTGGGGAGCATCTGTGCAAGCAGCAGGTGTGGGTGTGTGGAGGAGAATGGCCCAGAGAGAGTGGGACACTGAGAAGCACTGAGCTGTGTTCCCCAGCCTGGAGTAATGCACTGAGCCCGTGCTCTGTGGGTGTCTGCTCCTAGCAGTGCCTGTTTGGGGATCAAGGCCACAGGGGGTGCTGCACAGCAGGGCTTGCTCACCTTCAGCAGCACTCCTGTAGGCAGCCCGTGGGAAGTTCTCACATCAGCACTAATTTCCCCAGTGTAATTCATTTGAGGAGGGAAGTTTCTGTGGATGTTCCAGTTGGATTTCAGTGGTGGGACTGATTGGCTGTGCCACAGGGACTGGGGTGCTTTAGGCCAAGGCAGTACAGCTCATCTCAGCTATCCCCCCATGATGTCAGCTCCAAAATGAAGTGCTGCACTCCCCAGCAGTGCCATCCCTCATTGTGCACAGAGGACAGACCAGGTGGTGAGGGAGGCATGGAGCCAACACCAGCCCTGACAGAATAGAAGAACCAGCAGAGGCAAGCTGCCAGCAGCAGGCACAGAGGCATGGGGTTTCTCCTCAGCAGACACACAGCAACACCATGCTGGGGGTTTCCAAGCCTAAAGCCAAGCCATGGTGTGATACAGAAACATCATGTTCCCTTCTCAATGGAGGAAGGAACTGTACTCTAATAGATACAAAGGTTTTTGCTCCTTGTTCTTTCTAACTTTGTCCCTCCATCTATTCCCTCTCATCCGCCTCTCAGTGGCCTCTTCAAACCAGCTGCCAGGTTTGTCTGAGCTGAAGCAAATTTCTGGGAAGCCCCTTTTTATGGCTGCTGAGTAACAGGCACAAGCATTAGTTAGGCTGTGGATTTAACTGTTTAGCTATCTGGGTATTTAGTCTCAGAATAATAAAGAAAAGCAGTTAGAGCCTTTGTTGTCCCTAAAACATCAGAACAAGGCTGCTCTCATGCTTCCCACCATACAGCTGAACCTGCTTACCAATCAGGCTACTCCACTGCTGCTTTTAGAGATTTCTAAATCTAAATCTAAAGCAGCTGGGTTGCTCCCTTCTTGGCTTCTTGCAAGTAGCCTTAGCACTAGTAGTTACAACTTCATGGTGATCCTCTGAAGGAGAAACTCTGAATTATTATTTAATAGGCGACCTTTGCATCAGAATTGGAATAGTGCTGCTGCTATCTAATCCCTGTCTCCTCCTGTAAGATAGGCTGTTACAAGACTGAAGTATATTCTGATGTAAAAGTCACTAACATTCAATAGCAGCTTTGCAGTGTAGAGATTGCTTCTGTTACTGGAAGTCCTGGAAAACCAGAGTGACCCTTCTCAGTTGTGTAGAGGTAATTGTGCCCAAGGGGGTGTGTGGAATCAATTAAGAGTAGTTTAAAGAAAACAAGGTGACTTTTTTTTATGTATCAAATCAGAGAACAAGGAAGCTTGAAGGACTTGGGGAAAGCCTTCGCAGGTATGTAATCTTAATGGGTCCCTATCTAATGTCCACTGTGTGAAAAGTGAATCAAGAATTGAAAAAAGACACATCTATCTTTTGTTGAAAGCACTGCAGGTTAAACTGTGTCTCTCACCAAAACGTGAGTTGGACGAAGGCTTCAGCTGATGTTCTGCTTCGGAGCCCTTTGTGCCATGTTCCGGGTGGCACAGTCTCAGTTCAAGCAGGGGCAGTGCAAGATTTTGGGTTCTAGCCAGGAAAATGTCTAGATGGAGAAGTAGAGAGGGGCTGGCAGGGCCGTGGGCTAGATCTGGCTGTGTGAGTGACACAGAGGAATACTCTGAGCTCTGCCAAAGAGAAGGTTTTGTGTTTAGTGTTTGAGAATGCAAGGCACACACTGTAAACAATATAGGCAACAAGTGACAAGGAGGTTTGGTTAATTAACCTATCATTGCTATGTAGTTCATTTTACTCTTTT